ATCAACCCTCACAATTTTTCCTCTTCCTGGTCTCAAACACGTATGTGGGGAAAAATGAAAACCACATCAAATAACRTCTAGATACCCAGTGCCTCTTCTCAGTGAAAGGAATCTGAAATTTGAAAAAAATAATGATATAAAATAATGAAATTTGAAAAAATTCTCCTGGCCCCCAATTATATTTTCCAAAACAGAATCAGTTATTATCTGAAGCACTAAGAAAAATGAAACCAAGAAAACCAACAACAATCAAAAGAAACCAACCAAACAAATAAAAAAAAAGAACAAACAAAAAAAAAACCAAAAAACCAAAAAAACCACAAAGCCTAAAAAAACCAAAGCAAACCAAAATCACAGGCAGACACCAAGCATGGAAAGTTTCCTTACAGCTCATTTAAAGCTGGAAGTGGAGAGAACAGATCAGRGACTCTTAGAATAGAGGACATGAATCAGAGTTACATTTGCTTCTACAAAATACCAGAACGGGAAATCTTTCCAAAACCTTCATTCTGCATCCTTCATAATAATGACATTTTCTGAGTGAATTGCTAGTCCTTAACACGTTTAAACTGGTCTCATCTAATGAACAGACTACTGTGATCAAGGACAGGACCAAACTCGGATGATGTGAGCCAAACTCACATGATTGTGTTTCCCACCTCTCCACCCAGCTCTCTGAGGTGTTAATTGCCCTCAGATTTGCATATTCAGATTTGGGATAGCAGTCTCCATTAAGATTCTGGCACCACAAGGCCACACTCAAGCCTGCACAACAAAAGTGACACAATTTTGAGTTAAGATAACCGAAGTCCAACCTTAATATTGCAAGTCACATATACTTTTGTATGTCTAGAAACTTCTCAGGGTTTCTTTGGGTATCTCCCTCCTCCAGACACCTCACTGGTGTGTTGTTAAGACTCTCAGACCTGGGATTTCAACACCAGAGACCCCACAGAACTGCCCAGACTGGTTAGTATTTCACTTCTCTTTCCCCAAATGCAGAATGAATGACTTCGCCCCCTTTTTCCCTGGTTTCTCCCACCTACCCTGTGAGCCAGCCCTGCAAAATGCCTGGTCAGCTCCGTGTGACCTCTGCCTGAGCTTCCCTAAACGCTAATTTAATTTGACAGCTGAGCTGCTCCTTCTCCATCTCCCCAGTGCAGCTAAACTCCCAATGACAAAATCTGAGTGTTAAATAAGAGGACACCAACACCGTGGTGGGGGTGAGAGGTGAAGGGAGAGCGGGATTAAAAGTGAGCAAACCCATATTTCCACCTGATTAAGGACAGTGTATAATGATGACCCTGCTACTGTTCCTCTCAAAGACAAAATTGCAGCGCTTTCCAGAGCACAGGAGTGTCCACAAACACAAAGGACTGGATATTAGCAGAATCCAGGAAAAGGTAAGTATGTAAGAGCAGCAGAGAAAGGCCATGTTGTGCAAACACTGCTCAGCAATAACTAAGCCATCCTTGTGTTATCAACACTGTTTACAGCACAAATCCAAAACATATCCTCCTACTGTAATTTTCTTACTGGGAGGAAAATTAACTCTATCCCAGACAAAGCCAGCATGCTCACCACAAAGCAAAACTCCCATGGAGAAGGAAAAGGGGACAAAAATCCAGTCCCTTTGCAAAATAACACTAATTGTTCCATGCAAGCTTTGGTGATGATGTGACAGCAACACAGGGAGATTTTTTTTTTTGCAGCTGGAACGGATAATTTGGTGAGGGGCTGGCAGCTTCTCCACCTACAAACAACAATCATGCAAATAACATCTCACCACTGAGACACCTATTTATGCAAGCGCAGACCTAATCACTTACATCTGAGGCATTCAGAAGGTATTATTAGGGCATGATAAGGCTTATTAAGGAATAACACGGTGTTCTAAAGACACCRCAACCTTCAGCAGTGAAACAAAACTGAGACATCAGTGTCTTCAGTTTCGAAATCTAAACACAAAACCAGCAGATTTCTGCACTAGAAGCAGCCCCTCTAGGCAAACCTATTTTTCTTGCCACCCCACCTTCCAACAGGGTGCTTCTGTTCTCTAAACATACCAGATTGTATCTGACAGCAGGAACACCAGGTACAGTGCATCAAATGCATGCATGCTTCAACTCCAGGCTCATTTTGTATCAGAATGCTTAAATTAGGTGACTCTTTCCAAAAACAAGCTGTGGTCTTACCACTTCATCAGTGGCCCTCTGTGTTCCCCTCACTTAGCTCCCACCTATCCTCCCCTTTAATCAGGGCAGATTTCCCAAGTGGCAAAGGCGGCTCTCTGATAAATCTGGAAAGCAACAGATCCTTTCCAAACGACCCTGGAGCAAAGGGAATTCTGTACCGGGATCACAAGGCTCCCTCCCCCTTGCCGAGAGCAGGSGATGAATTCATAGGCTTCCCCCACAGGTGGCCACAGCCAACAGTTAATTTCGGCAATAACAGCTCTCCATCCTGCTGCCCTGCCCGTCAGCAAAATCACTCAAAATCATGGCAAACTGAGGTTCAGTGCTTCAGAAATGACAATTTGCCACGGGTTTTGAAGGCAACGTAGGCACACTTCAACTAGATTTAGAAAATGACCTTTTGTGTTCTTTTTTATTTGTGTACCAGAGAGCCACTTACTGCAAATTCTGTGAAATGTGAAAAATACAGCTACGTACACATTTAGCAGCAATTTCTTACTGCAGATGAAAATTACAGCTTTGTTGATTTACAGCCTTATTTAATATACTCCAGTAACTTCTCATCTTAACCCTGCTGCTCTTCCAAAATTGAGTTTTCCCAGGGTTTTTTTTTCAGCTTTCCAGGTCACAGTTTAGATTTTAGGACACTCGTGGATCACAAATTATTCATGCTCAAGGGGCACAATCCCATCAGAAACAGTTGTCCAAATGGACTATGCAGCATTGTTCCAAGAGCGTCTTGCACAATCCTGATTCTTGCCAAAGGGAAATTTGGTATTTTAATATGGAAACAGGGGAAGCAAGTAGCATATTGACATGAAATGCACACTCAGGCAGATCAYTCATTTCTCTCACTTCAAGCAAGTAGCTCAAGAAGACACCCACAGAAATAAAATAATCAAAATGTTTTTTTCCTCCACCTTTAAGGAGCACGACCTCAGTGCAGTCAGACTACCCAAGAATGGTSCGTGGTGTCTGTGAGGTTTATGCCAAGGTACAAACAGGTGTGTTTATTTTTACTGCACTCAATGTTTTGCAACCTTTGTCATCTCCCTCAGAACTGGTTTTAGAACCAGAGTACTACACAAAAAGAAATCTGTAATTTCTTTGTCTTTGAAATCTCCTTATAGATAACAGTTCTGTTCCCAAATACTCTGTCATAGGTTTGCTCATTCTGACTCCCCATTTGGCCCTGTCACACCACTCCATTCCTTCATCACACTTGTAACTCTCCCAGGCATTTCCTTTCACACACTCTGCCTCTGCCAGGTCCAGACTTTTCACTTCAACCTCCCTACAGAGATGGCTATTCCATGTGGTYGGCATTTTTGTTGTCCTGTTTCATATCCCACCCTGAAGACTATTTCCTATTTCTTTTCCTATTCTGAAATCCTGTTCTCCCATCCTCCAACAGAAGCTGGTAGTGCTCCCTTTGCAGCTGGCATGCTTTCCTCAATAATGAAAAGGAAAAAAAAAAGATTTAGAGTAAAGACAAGGGAGAGGGGGTGGGAAGAAACATGCTTAATTCAAAGATATAATTAAAAATATGTGTCTTTGACAAGACTTTGAACAATTCTACAAATACAGCCACACAGACATGTGGGMGACATTGCTATATTTTTTCATCTCTGGCTGCTGCACATTTAAAGTCAAATGCTTCACATTACAAGAACAGCAACCAGCCCTTCCCCTGGGATGGCAAACAGCTGCCTGCTGGTGTATCTGATTACTCCCCGTCTATCACATCTAAAATCTCTTATCTCAGGCAATAAGAATTTCAAGGCTGTTGCTYCTTGCCCTCCGCACCACAGAGTATTCACACTAATGTGTGGTGCTACACAAGAATAGAAGGACACATTTTGAAAGACACTTTGTGCTCCAGGTCTCTAAGGCACAACACCTTGAGTAATGTTTTTGGTACCGGACTTTCAGCAAATGGAAGTACACAGTAGACAATGCTTTGTAAGAGCTCAGAGAGGAAAATGCCAGAGCAAAGGGAATGAAGTGGAGGGAAGAATCTTCATTGTCTACTACTATTTTTCCAGACTACTACCATTATTGAAGAGCATGTATTTGCCTTTACTAATAGTTTCACTACAGSTTGGACAGGAAATGCCAGAGATTAATCTTCATGAAAATGTGCTTTGGTTAGAACTGGAGTTACATCGAGTGTGTTTAACATTTACTTCTCTTGCCTAGGAGGAAAGAACTTGAGTCCTGACAAGAACAAAGAAATTTCATGACTTTTTTTCCCACCTACAGGTCATATACTCTATGGGCAAATAGATAATACAGCACTGACAGTTGACAAATAGAAATCAGCAACATCAGCTACAGTCATGTATTTTGTGGTGACTGGATAATTAATTTTTTCCCATACATCATTTAATTGCAGGTGGAATAAGCCTACTTTTATGGATGGTTTGGTGAAGTCACAAAATTTTGTAAATAGTGGCTTCATAACCACATACTTGTGGTTACAACTGTGTCAAAATAATGTTTACAAAGGATGGTGTGTTGAACACTCTGTTGGCATCACAAACAGGACAAGGAAGAAGAWGTAAAAATGTTACTGACAAAGATGTTCTCCCCATTCCTACCTTATTTTCTTTGAGTTAGAGAATATTTTCAAGTGAGAAATTCTAGATTAGATTTGTGCACAGAGCTGGACTTAAGAGAAATAAAAAGGAGAAAAAAAAAATCATATGGCTGCCTCCAAAACGCTATAAAAACTAAATGAAATCTGTTTCAGATGACAGATCTGCATACATTATTTGAGGACTTGGCTTTGTGTCTCTGTTTCATTTATTCATGCACATTCTTGAAGTGAAGTTCAACTCAGCACTCCAAAATCAGAGTCACAGTTTGACTTCAGGAGTGAGTGTCTCACATTCCTAAAACATTCTGATAGTGTAGGGTAGGAATAGCGCATTTAATCAGTCAAAYTGCTTGGGATTTAGCTGGACTCATCAGGTAACTCTGGGTGAGGTAAATGAACCACAACATTAAAATGCAGCTGTACAGAGTACTTTAAGAACAGACAACTACAGAATTAATATGACTTCAGAGTAACTTTTTAATCCCAATTAAAAGTGCATCATAAATAGCTTTTGTCTAAGCAGATATTCAGAAGTTTTACAACATAGGTAAGGACTACAGTACCAAAACTTAGGAAGAAATACTTTATTTTCTTAGCTACTGTTCAGAAAGCCCTGAGGAAACTGATCCCCAAATCCCTAAGAGATCTGCAGCAGAGAAGCTGAGGAGCACTCTGTGCAGACAACTCCCGGTATTACTTGGTAGAAAACGAGGCACAACATACCTAGGCAGCTTGCTCAGGTCACACCTCCTCAACACCACATGAATTCCACGTATTCTTCCCTTTTGGCAGCTACTACAAAGAGAGACATGATTCTCCCTGGCAAGTATCCCACTATTGGACAGGTAACAGTTTTTGCTAGCATGTAAGGTCAGACACCTGTTGTTCATCAGAAGTCACAAAAACACTGTTTCACTGCTGGAAAAAACGGGAACAGCATGACTAGTAAGGCTTCGAACACAGCAGCCATAAATCCCTCAGTCACTCGCATACAAAGTTACAAATGAACAAAGCTACTAGCTTTTTCTTTTTTTGCCTTTTTTTTTTTTTTTTTACAAAGAACAAGCTCAACAGACTTTAATTCAAATACATTTATAATACGTAAACATTTCAAAATCAAAATTGGAGGGAGTGGACTAAAACACCCAGACATTCTTGCTTTACTCTCCAGCCTCCTAGAGAAGGAATGGTTATTTCTCATAGCAGTTTGATCAGTACAGAAGACTCCCACAAACTGAAAGCTTTTGTCTTAGTTAGATATTAGCTATGTAGTAAAAGTACATTCAAGAAGTCCTTGTATCAATTTGGTGTTTTTCAAGTACCTGACAGCTGGCTCTTTTACAGATAAACACACAGCCCCTTTTGGCCTGCAGTGTTAAATCAAAATCCATCTCTCCCAGTTCATAGATGAACTGAGAATCCTATTTAGATGAAGTCTGCTAGCTGATTCAGGTATTAATGTTAACTTCTCTAAAATCAAAACATTATGAAAGACTTATTTCCTATTTAGTAGTATCACATCTCCTACTGATAGATTTGGGTTGTGCTACTGATCATTTAGATGACATACACCTAAGAAATTTTAAAAGAATAAAATCTGAATAATTGAAATACACACTGTCTGGAAAAATATCACAGATGTATACGAATAGGAAAAAAAAGTAAAAAGCTTTAATACATTTTCATGTTTTGTGCAGATAATATTTTTACAGACTATGGCCAATCAATGAAGAAACTAAATACAAACGTTTCAGTCTTTTTAGCTCTTCTTTCAAGACACTTGACTTGTACTTTGAGCTTAAGTAGTAGATAAGTAGTTAATCCACTGATAAACAAACTCAGCAGAAAGTAATTTTTTAGTTGTACCACTAAATCATTAAAATAATTAATATCATTAGTTGTACAGGAGTTCAGTGCTGTACCACTAATAAGATTTTTCCTGGTTACTGTAGAGGTAAATTTGTAATCCAGGTAATTGGACTACAACAGTAGAAAAATCAAACTATCCCCATGTTGTGTTCAGGTAACGTTGCACAGAACAGCTTTAAATTAAATTTGCATTTATTTTTATTCCTATTATTGCAACGATGGGCAAAATTATCTCTAAAAGTAAATGTGTATTTTAAAAAAAGATTGTTAACATTTTATGATGACTAAACAAAATAAATGATAACTAGGTATGAAGAAATAAGATTCAAAACTCTGTTACCAGAGTTTATTTTCAATAGAAAGTTTCGAGTGTCAATTTTATTTGTTACGTTGGAATAAATTGACAATTTGCTTGATATCTCAAGTTTTGAACTTCTCTTCCTTATAAAGTGAATAAATCCCCAAAAGTCCTTACTTAACAGAAATAGCTTGAACACTACAATCTATTCAAGAGCAACAGAACACTTACAGCTGTACTATGAAAGCTGGTTCAACAAAGTTGGGAAGGTGAAATTTGATTTGATAAAGTCTCATTGCAGCAGACAAAAATTAAGCTTTTGCATTTTGTTTGCTGGCAGAAGAAGAATATTCAGTTCACTAGAGTGCATATAATAAAACCAAACATGCAATCTATTGCTTTTAAAACTTTTACTGCAAGATAACATTAAGAGAACAGTAATTAGATATCTATCATTTTTTTCCCAAAGAGAAMATATGTAAACAGGATAATAATTTTTTTCTTTATGTATATAGCTTCTCAGATCATTTGAGGGGGACAAAGGAGGGGGTGGCATTTCTCAATAATCAGGACACTTTTAACTGTAATGGGTTTTCATTTGAAGAAAAAAAAAAAGCCAACACTGTTCTAATTCAGCATTAGACAAAAATACTGTGTTTCTTGCACTACTTTAACACAGCTGAAAAAAAAAAACCCTGAATACCCCTATTTTGACATTCAGGATTACATTTGCTCAGATCTTTTAGATTTCACAAAGCTGCTATCCAGTGTTGCCACAAAATACAGACTGTAAAATCCACGTAGCACAGGCTACTTCCAATGCCAATGCTAACTGGAAAGGAACATGAAGCAGTGCATTACACTACATTTCTGGAACTAGTACAGTAAGAGTGAAAACCTAGAAAAAGTAACCTACAGTTTATAGAAGGAACTAATTATCTGCAGAAGCTGATTTTTTGGTTGTACATTTTTTTTTTTTTACACTGTGCGATTTTCTGCATCTGCTAATTTAAAACAGACATAAATTTGTTGCTTTCTTTGCTTTGTTTTTTTCCTATGTTCTCCCTTCCACCCACCCCTATATGCCATACACCAAGCATTATGAATATAAGCCCAAATATCCTAGACAATCCAGTGAACAAAGTTAGTGTAATGCACTGGTGTGAGGTGTGAAATAGAAAAAAAAAATTCTCTCAGTCTTCATCGAAGTTCTGCTGTAGAAGAAAGTTGGCAGCCAGGTTTTCGTTCTTCTCACAAGCGAAATACGCCTGTATCACAAGTCCTTCAGGAAATCCTAATGCCTTTAACTGAAGAAAAGAAACATATTTAGGAAGTACGTTTTTTATGTTCGGCTTCTTTGTACATCTAGTGTCTTGAGAAGTCACTCAATCAATTACTGCCATCTTGAAAATAACATTGCTGTTTAGCTCAATGCAGACTTTAGCAACTGAAAAATAAGGTGCTGCCTCTGCCTTAAGTAAAGAAGATCCTCACTTGAAAAAGTGATTTGATTAAGTCTAGTGAAGCATTCTATAATCTTGTCACTTCTTTAGTGACACAGTAAGTCTAAACCAGACCTGGCTTACAGTACTGTCAAGAAGTAATTGGCACATTGCACTGCTGCAGAATAAAAGCCCAGCTTCAAACAATGCTCATTTTAAACAATTACACAAAGCTCCAATGCACTTTTAACAAAAATTGACTGGAACAAAAGCTCCCAGCCTGTGATCTTTGGTAGGTTGTCCAGCACATCACACTAAGCCATATTTTCAATTGTTTATCTTAAAAAAATTAACTACACACTGCAGCCAAGACAAGTCAGCTGAGAGCAATCTGGTTTTCAGAAGTCAATKAATTAATTAATGTCTGGAACACAGTGACAACAGGGCATGAGAATGCCAGAGAAGAACTTATTACCATGCCAAGTGTTTAGCCAGCACTTAGGGGCACTCAGCAAATTAATCCTTTTTTCAGCCAAAGGCAAATATACTCAACCATTTGGAGACTTCCTTAAAATCCTMAAAGCACCTGCAAGGCATGTCATATATGGGGCAGATCTGTGAGAAACAGGGACTTAATCATCCCTCACCAACCATTCTTAAAYTTCCTTTCAGGCCATGAAAGGCATGAAGACATCAGCTGCAGTGATGCTTAAATTCTGAGGTGTGTCTTTAATAGAAAGTGAAAGAAGTGTATGGATCTCTGTTGAGTTTTAGAATGACTGCAGAGGTAATAAAGCTCTACTGCATAAAATGGCTTTAAAAGGAAATGCAGCAGATCAGAAAAGATGACCTGTGAAGAAGTACGTAGACAAATAACTCTATGAGATTGAATTGATTAATTGCCAATTTCCTCAAGATCTGGAGAATTGATACCTATATTCAAATAYGTATCTTCTGATGACCCTTACATAAACTTTTGTTTTGCCAGTGGTAAAATATTGCCTTTCACTATAACAGAAGTCTTGCAATTTGTCCAGAGAAAAGTCTTAGAGCCATTGCCATCTATGCAAATCCTTATTTAGTCAGTTACATGTTACTTATGAATGTARTATACCATCCCAGACTGTATTTTCATGCTTACCAGTGCTTTTAGAATACTCTAATTAAATCCTTATGGATAGACAGATAACTGGGTAAAGTTTTGACCCTAACTAATCTACTCAGCTATGAGTGCTCTCACTTTCCAAGTACTTTGCAAACAGTACTCATGAAGCCAGACCTTTGCATCTGGAAATGTATCATGGCATGATCTAGAACAGTACTGGCTGTGGCTTTTGCAAGAGGAATTACTTCCTGAATAATTACTGAGGGAAATCCATCCGTCATCAATTATCACACAATGGTCTCTGATAATTTAAAACGCTCTGGCTCTGCTCAGTAAGATAGATTTAATGTATTTTAGACTCAATTGCTATAAAGCATGAAGAGATGTGATTTGAAACAAGGCTACAACAACTATGAAATACCCAACATGAAAATACCAAATATGATGCAGAACTACTGAGCTAAACAAAGACTAAGTTAGGTATGTCTTAAGCATGCACTGGAGTCAACACCCTACAGCAATAAGAAGAATACAGCAGAATTTCAAAGAAGAAAGGCAATTTCAATAAAGAAAGGCTCACCCTTTCTATAGCTTCCTTTTCCTGAGGTGTTACTTGAATGTAGTTCATATGAGCATTCCCAGCATCTCCAATTCCTCCAGTGCTGGCACCATCGTCACTGCCACTTAAACCTTGGCGAGACTCTAGAACTGGCTCATTCAGCATATGAATAAAATGTTCCTGGTGCTGGCTTATTTGCTGTGATGCACAGAGCAGTGAAAGAAAGACATCTATTTAAGTAACTCTTGTTTAAACCTGACAACAGACAAGTAAAAATATTTATTTTCAGAGAATTAAGAATGAAGGAATGCAAATAAATGTGTAACAAGCACACAGAGAAAAATTATTAACTATAACCATAAGAAATGCAATTTTTATGTTTCAATTCAATTGCAGTGATGCTTTCCACTTCCTTATCCCCTCTGCACCTCTTATGAAGTCTCAGACTTGTATCTAATGTCATAGAAAGTACATTTTGTATAGCAACAACTGCTGAAAAGCCAGCAACAGAATGTAGCTGCTAGCAACATATCCCAGACAACATCAACATATGACTCAATTGTAAAACTTAATCAGAATTAGCAAGCACTATTTTCTTGTTTACAAGATCCACCTGTAGTAGTTGGGGGTTTTCCCGTCCAATCTGCTGCAACAATGCCGGCAACAAAGAAGGATTTTGCTGGATAATTTGTCTCATCTGCTGGAACTGAGGCTGATTTCGTAAAAACTCAAGCGGATGTCCTGGAAAAAAAAATCAGTGAATTAACATGTTTTTTTTTTTTTAAAGTTACTATGAATCTTAATAAAATACATATCTACATTGTAATTGTAGATAGGAACAGGACATGAAAGTGGATAATACACCCGTCACTGAAGAACAGAAGAGTTTGCTTCCTCACACTAGCTTTAAGCAAAACTTCTTTATACTGAGGTTAAACAATGATTTCCATTTTACATGATGTCTTCTCTTAAGATCCAACAACCTTGTACTTTTCTCCAACCACTCTCCTCTGTATATCTCATTTCTGGTTAACTTCAGAGACATCCACTGAACCTAGAGTCTTGTCTCTACAACAGAGCACTCCACCTCCTGCCATGGGTCAGTTTTCCAGGGAGCTTTGCCTTCCCATACATCCCACATTCTTAGTCACTGAATTTCATACAGCAGTGTCTGAACTGCTCGGAATATCCCTCCCCCAATTCCCTTTTTATGGATCAAGTCATGTGTGCCTGCCACTACTCCCTGCATGTTMAACGCTCTGGCCTCTTATCAGGACTTGTATCTTGAGCATCATTTCTGCCACAGCCTAAGAGAGGTACTTTCTATCCCTTCATTAGGCTCCTTTTGTGTATTTATCTATCTCCCTTTAAGAGCTTTATCTATCTCCCTTCTCTTCAGCAGGCACCAACCACTGTCAATGTGCTGCATTGCTGAGTGAGGAGGAGTCCTGGGTCACTTAGAGGTCTCCCCAGTGCTACACTTCATGGTCTAATTTCAGGTTTCTCCCTTGATATTCCAACTTCTGTGTGGCAGATACATTAATACAGTCATGGTGGACAGTGCCCAGGCAGCCATACAGTAGAAAGCCAGAGTTTAATTGAGAGAAAACAAAATCCCACCCACATTTGYGGTCTCGCATTTAATATCAGAGAATTGAATTTAAGAAATTGTGCAAGTTCACTGCATTTGTTGAAAACTCATGCTTCATTGCACAAGAATCAGCATATAACAAGCTACTTGTCCTGAGAAAACACCACACCTGGAATTTGCATGTTAACAGCTCTTACCCAATTCCCTTTGAACAGCTCACAAACACCTGGAACTTAAAACTGACTGGAAAAAGAGATTAAGTACACATGTTTATCACATCTTCTCAAACACAGCCTTTCTTACCTCCTAGTGAACTAGTAGTCGTAGGTATAGTTGCTACTGCTGCTGCCACTGCTGAAGACTGAGATGCACCAGTGCTTGGTGGTTGAGGGGGTTCAGCCACAGCCTGATTATCTCCAGGTATACCCTAAAGCCACAGTTCACATCATTACCCACAGAACGCTAACAGATATATTTACACTGCATGCAGTATTTGATTTCCAGAATGAAGAAAAAAAAATAATGCTTTTGCTGCAAATACAAGGCAAGATCCCAGAATTTATATATTTATAACTGACGGAGAACACTGTGAAAAGATTGATTTTATTTTTTTGGCACAAAAAATGTGTGATTTGTTTAGAAAGGCAGTAAAGCATGCATGCATCACTTTAAAATACACTTTGCCCAATGAAAAAACACTTGCTTTGAATCCTGMTTGAAGATATTTGATACGAGTGAAAAAGTTAAACTAAATATACCGTTACAATATGTTATAGTGTTATGCAAAAGAAGTGACATTATAGCAACAAATTGCAGTACATAACACTAAGATTAACAATGCCATACAACTGGCAAGAAGCTGAGAAGAGACATAACACAGCTCTTGGGACCTTGTTCCTCAATGAAAAGCTGACATTTGCAGTATCTTAAATGTGAAGAGGTCTGTATGTCATCCAGTTTTAGCAGTTTAAAAAAAGTTAACTTGCCTTTTGTTTATTTTCTACGTGCCAACAACTTTTTATAGGAAGTGATTGCTCCGAGGGCTGAAATGCACAAAACTAAAATACAACTATAATCAACTAGAATGTCGTTTATACAACCACGACACTTTACCACTTTTTCTCCTGCATGGAAATCCTTCAAGCTTCCTACCCTAACCCTGCCTTTCACTGTCACTTGAGCTCCTGTATCATGTCTGTCCTCTCAATCTTCCTCCTTGAAGCCTGGAAATTTACTCATGAGAGAGACACCAAGAATGTTACAATAAGCCCTATTGGAACAGCCCAGAGAAGTTACCCAAATGAGGGTCATTCTGCAGTTTGAGAACCACAAAACGTAAGGAACTGGGTGGGTGGAAATATTACAGAACCACACAGGGTAACCATACAATGAAGAGATTTGTCTATACCATAAAAATCACTGGTAGGTAATGTAGACTAAAAGTCCTCCTGTAACATGCTCTTCACATGGTATGCTCATCTTTACACCCGAACAAAAAAGATAAGTATACAGCTAATATGGAAGGCACATCTAGAAATAGAGATCTCGACAGTGCTCCAGTCAGAGTTTTGCCTTACCTGTTTATTAAGAAGCATATCAAGGTATAAATCACCTAATCATCAAGTGCACATTTAAGCCACTCAGGGGAATAAACGCAAGATTTCCCTGTCACACAATTCATTACCTTCACATGGCTCAGTAAGCTTGGTACAGATCCCCCACTTCACTGAGGGGGAGGAGAATTCCATTCATGGCATAAATCTGAGGTAATCCTCCCTTATCAGTGGCTTACAGAGCACTGATTAAATACCTTTTCCCATCAAATCAGTAATTTCTGGCAAACCAAGTATAAAAGTAACAACTTGGGTTTAATCTTATGAAATTACTAGTTAATTTCACTTATTCACAGGCGTATGTCACCACTGCAATCTGCGTCCAGATCAAATAACATGTGTTTGTTTAAAATTCTAAGTTTGCTCTAGAATGGAAGGACTGTGTAAACTAGCTCAAACAAATTTACTTAGAAATTATTTGTCCTCTTGAACATCATCTTAACACTTGAACACAAGTTGAAGTATCACTCTCCAAATAACAGAGGCTGTGTGCAGTTGTAATCAGACAATATCAGAAAGGCGTATGGACCTTGTTCACATGGCTATACAACAGAATAAAGCATGGTGTTAAATCACACACGGATTCAGGTCACTCTGAATGCAAACACTGCTTGGACAGCAAAAAGGCCACTGCTGCCTTATGGTGGATGAAACAATTGTTTACTGTTTAACTGAGCAGTACAGCAGCTTTTAGCTGACATTGCTCTCCACAGGGCAATAAGCAAATCAGGTGCAGCTTCTGCACACAGGAGAGAATAGTTCCAAGCTGGGAAGTACTTACAATGACCATCCAGTCCCACTGACTGACCAATTCAAGGCTGACCAGAAGTTACAGTCTGTAAAAGGCATTGCCCAAATGCCCCTGAAACACTGACAGGCACAGAACATTGACCACCTGTCTACAAATTATGTTCAGTATTTTAGCGTGACTACACTCACACTAAAATTATCCAAACTAAGAGGCTGATTACTGAAGAGATGACAGAACTCCTTCCTAGTTAGGGATTAGGAAATTCTTGGCTCAAAGAGAGATCTGAACGTAAATGCCTTAAAGATGGGTCTGGGCCACAGAAAAATAAGAGCATCTTTTGCAACTGAGACCTCCTTCCAGGACCACAGGTCACAGACATAGGATTACATCTACATCCTCCATGATGAAGCCATGAAAATTGAACAACTTSTCAAACATGGACAACAAGTAGTATCTTCAGGGCTCATCTGAGGAGCAGCTGTGCTTTAACTGCAGATTAAATCCTTTCCAACATCTTGCAGGTACCTTTGGTGTACTGGTTCTTTAAACTTGGACATTGTTGTATACTTACAGATCTCAACATCCTAATCCTACCCTGCCAATTGTATAGAAGATAATGCTGATAGTAGTTTGGAGGCAGGTAATGTAGAGGGTTAAAGGACAATGTCATCAACAGATCAGATCAACAGTAACTAAAATATTTTTGATGTAACTAATCTCTTTTTGATGCAGCAGGGCAGTAAGGAACAACTTCAGACCCCAGTTGACYCAGAACAGTTAGAAAGACCATTAACAGCAAAAGGATTCTTCTAGAATAACAGTAAAAAGTCTGTCATCTAACATGCTTAGACCAAAGCAAAGACCATTCCTCCCTAGTCCCTTTTCCAGCAGGAAGAAGAGGAAGAAAAAAGAAAATATATTTCCAGTGAAGGATAACACAAAGCATAAGGGACAGTTTATGTAACAGAAGGATCAGTTTTATACACAGGCCTACCAAAGGACTAGAAATGAACTTCTCATGCCAGTCAGAGACAATGGATTTGGCTGATGTGACATGTAACTCCATTACATATTCTGTCTCTATTCTGGACTTCTGAACAGAAATAACATGGAGGAGGGAAATGCCAGACACAGTGCACAAGAATTGTACACTGTAGGACTGCCCCATGCATAGCAAGCCCAACACTTAGGGGAGGCACTGAATTCATGGCATCTTTACAGACCAGCGAACAGTAAAACCAACATATTTAAAGCGTGAAAAACAAATGTTTGAGGTTACAGACTTATGACAAAGGGTTGGGAGGTATTGCATTCACCCTTGTTYGGCCTGTTGCTACTTGGGAATTGAACTCTTTACATTCTTCTACTTAAAACAACTATTGGTTGTCAGTTTAAAATCTGAAAATTACAAAGTCCTGGGAATGCTAATGTAAGTAGAAGGCATGCCAGGGACTTGCAACTACTGATGGAAAACTTCATTAACAAAATTAAAGTTTTATAACTGGAGGTTAAAGATGCCAGATCTCTTACCAATCAATCAGAAATTCAATCCACATATACATTGCAAGGATTAAGTCAAGATATGTGGTTGTCAGATTTTAATAAAGTTCAGATCTGCTAAAAGGAAAAACCTCATCAGGGAAAAAATGGTATGCCAGAACAAAAATTAAATGCACTGGAAATACTGATTAAGCAATAATATTATAGACAGATTCTATGGTGGTAACAATTCACCTGTCAAATTAAGGTATACAATGAGGAAAAAAATCCAAAAAGCCCCTAAAACAACTCACAGGGTTTTCATTAAAGTGAAATTACTCTTCTATTTCCTCTCATGSCGATGAAGATCATTTAACCCTTCAAGCTTGATTTATCAAATGAAAATTGATTCTTCGCTAAAACACTACTGAAATTAAAACACCAGCTAAATTAAGTACAGTTAAAAAAATTCTCTCAAAATTCTGTTTGGAATGCGCATTAAAGAGAGTGTGCATTATTTGCAAAAACATTGAGCTGGAACTTAAAGAATGGTTATGTTTTAGATACTAATGCAAAAACACAACTAATCAACAATGATGTCACTAAGAGGTGACAAAAAACCTCTGAGCCAGCCACTGTAACTGGACATACTTTACACACACACCTATATAAATCAAGAAAAAATGAAAGCAAAGAAGTGGCAGAGGTCGTCAGGGATTACTTCAGTGTTTTCTGTAACACATCATGTCTGTTAAAATTTCAAATCTCATCTTTCCAGATGCCCTGCCAAGAGGGTGAACATCACCCTTAGCGATTGAGTAATATCCAAAATGACATCAAAATCAAAGTGAAAGCTATTATGAGGAAAACAAAACAGGAAAGAACAGGCTGTAGGAAAGATAAGTGCTTACCATCAAAAGGTATTCCACTGCTCTGTCAGGATTGTTGAAGCTGGCCCTCAGTGCCGCAATCACCTGCTCTCGCTCGTAGCCCATGGACATGATCTCAGTCACCATGTTCTCATACGACTGACCTGTCACTAGAAGTCACAGGGAATACCATTGTAAGGGAATAAGATGAAAATAATCACACACAAAAAAGTTTCAATGGATAAACATGATTTCTACCYGAATTTCAGTCGTTCATTGAAAAGAGTAATCAGTATTAAACATGACATGGTTCTGTGGCTTTAACTACAAATATATTCAGTAGTTTCATTACAAATTTGATTGGAGATAGTGGAGGGTAATGAACAAAATGCAAACTTCTATTGACAAAAGCAGCACTCATGATATTTCTGTACTTGTAATTGAAATAATGTTCTCTCTTCAAGTTCTCATTTAAGGTCAAGGGCATCCTCATAGCTAATATTCAATTCCTGATGCAATCAAGAGAAGTTTCCTGCAGCTTACATTTGGAAATCAAAACTTTCAAGGCATAAATCTACCTGTCAAATTGTTAAACATTGAGGTTTTTCATAATAAAGACTTCTGGTTCTGATATAAATGACAATTAGTGATTACCAAGCTACTACTATATATGCTGTGTGCTGGTGATGATGATCAAAGTCATTTAATCAAATTAACATGGACCAGATCAAATCAAACAGAAGACTTAGAAGTTGTATATAGGAAAGTCACTCAAGACTTCCATGAGGGTTCAGGAGACCAAGTCATCTCATTTAAATCTTATCTCACTCAATTTAACATCTGACTAGACATCCATCACCTGCCAAATCCCCACCTCTTACAGTAAAAATGGATGAAAACTGTCCCACATCTGCAGCAATCAAGACAAAAGGATACACACACTCTATATGGAAGAATTTAAGGGCAAATGATCACTCCACTGATCTCACTCTAAGAAAGATTATTATCTGTTTTCATAATACATTTAAATTTTCAGCCTTAAAAGCAGATAGCAGGTATAACAATTGAAAAAAAGGTAACCATTCTACTATTTTAATTGGGCAAATCTTAAAGGTGGTCTTCTTAAAGATAGGGTTATCTTCCTTAAGATAGGGAAAAATATACAAACAAATGCAGGCATTAAAATACCATCTCCTTCCTTGGATAAAGGTATTCCTTATTTCAGTGTAGTCCTACTACTGACTGACTCYACAACTAGAAAGCTAGTGGCAGAAGAGTTAAATAGTTAACAGTCACCATAAAAAACAACTGATTAATAATAATTAAAAAAAAACTAAAGAGAAAACAAATACAAGAGCTACTCTGTTAAGACAATTAAGTCATAATAAAAGACCAAAGAAAACATTAAGTTTTATTCCCTTAGGGAGAAAGTGTTTAACTCAAGCCAACATTAATACACCCCCATTGCCTGTTTCTAAATGTGTGCTTCTAAATAATCAGTGGGTGTATGACTTAGGGCAGTACACTCAAGAAAAAACAAYAAAACAGCCGTAGCCCAAGGCTAATTGTGCATTGTCCATAAATAAAGGATTTAAAAGCCTTGACTAATTTGAGTATTTATTATTTGGGCTTCAAACTAATAGTGCCAATCTGAGTTTAAGGAATGGCAAGTTCATGTCTTCATAAAGAACTACAAGATCATTCATTTTACATCTACATGGATTTTTTTCAGACATCATCATCTAAACTTTGCTCTAAATACACATAYTTCTATACATATCTTCAAAGAAGCAAAAAAACCCAAACCAACAATTGTCCTAACACAATGAATTTGCTAGATTTCTGCTCATGTTTTCCTTATACAGCGTTATTTTACCCTTACTGTTCCTAATAAACTAACCAAGTAGACAGAACACCTGGTGATGTAATTAATTATCACTTGAACACTTCTGTATTGCTTTTTCAATATAAGAAAGGTAGAGACGAGAGCAGTATGAGAAATTCGATGCAGGAGAAAAAAAGGCTGGTTTTCTCTACGTAGGCTGCTACTGAAGGCATAACTAAAAGCCAAAGGAAGAAAACAGAATTACTGCAAAAGTAGGTGCAGGTACTTCATACAGACTACTTTACAAGTTGTGCAAAAGTGAGCTCAAGACTTGCACACCAGCAATCTCATGATAGAGAGTCAGGCCTATAACTTCACAGTGCTAGTGGAAATGCTTCAGGTCAATGTTGAATTGATTCTGCTCTTTGCTTTTGTCTTTCAAATAACATTTTAAAGCTGGATTAACTCTCAAATCCAGTTCAGCACACTCCCCACAATAATTCTTGTCCTATGCCCTAAAGAAAGCTTAGGCTGCTCCAATGAAAGATGTGGTTGCACAAGGACTGCAAGACATGCAGATTTTCACGTAGCACACAAAGCCACACCACTTTTCAGCATTTAACTGAAAACAACAGMAATCATAGAAACCCCTGTTTTAAAAGCAAAGTCAATTAACTTCAGAAAATGTAATTGAGAAGCCAGAGTCAGAATACGTGTAGGATCCAACTTATGATGTGTACACATACTACATCAATTTGTGCAAACAAATTCATTTCAGGACAATTTTAGAAAAGAAACCACAGAGTTCTTGCCTATWGCCATTGAAAAATTTTTGGCTGACAACACTTACAGTATGGTCACACAGAAAATCACACTCAATTCCTGCTATTTCCAAACACGTTAGGGACACATAGGTTTACTTCTTCAGACACCAAACAAAGAACTCCCATATAAAATGGATAGTAAGGTGATGCTCTTKAAGTGGGATTTTTTAATTATTTTTTCAGCTCTGAGAAATTTGAATCAAGACCATCAGCTTYACTTAACTTGCTGATCAACACTGTTAGCATGAATGTTTGTGATGATATCACTAGCCTCCTGGCTTAGATATTATGAATGGCTAATGAAGCACCTTTGGTAACGGCAATCACTTCAGACAGCTTAAATTTGGCTACATTTCAGTTTAGCTACATTTTTGTCTCCTGCTCAGTATCTACCAGCTCTTTCAAATCATACAATCTAAAACAGTATGTCACACCTAAGACCTAAACTCCAGCTGGAGAGACTAAACCTAGCAGCTATCACTAATTCATGTAAAACGTTACTGCTGCTTTTAAATCACCCTGGGCTGCTTATTCCCAACACCTGCCTCCAATATAGCCACAAAAAATGTGAGTGAAACTCTTTACTTGGTTTAACCCTTTGTACCAAATTGCAGCTTCATATTTACAGATGAAAGACAGAACTAAAACTCCCACCTCCTCCTAATTTCWGTGCCTGAATTTGTTACACTTTGAAACAAAACTAAAATTCCAGTAGGAGTTAGAGTTTTGGGTTTGTCTATTAATTTCCTAGMTAATCTGTATGTGTCAAAATGCAAAATAATTTCAAAGCTGGAACAAGTGAATAATAAATGCAGCCATTTTATCAGACCTGAACTCTAGGGAGCAAAAGTGAAAAAGCACACACATATATACATCTAGTCCTCTATGCAAGCTACTTGAAAGTGAATAGTTAGAAGAGAAATTAAGGCAAATGGGGCAAAAAAAGCAGGGATGATAAAGATCTTCTTTCTACACAATAAAAATATACGAAGGGAAATAATCTCAGTGAAGTAGTTACTGAAGCTAGTTCCAAGATATCAACTCCAGGTCTCAGAGAAGAGCACTTTAACTATAACTTTAACAATGACAGACACAGAAGAAAATGTCAATATCTGCTAATCCGTCATGTTTCTGCTGCACCGAAATAATGTCTACATTAAAAAAAATTCCACTTACCAAGTGCACTTATAGCATCCTCAAAAAGATTTGATCGAGATGTATCACCTGTTGTACTGTAAGATGAAGACAAGTGCAATGGTAATTACAAAACTTTGGAAAACTTCCTGTTTAAAAAAAAGAAAAAAAAAGCAGCAGCAGCTGTAGCTCTAATAGTCCCTTTTGTTTCTAAAAAACCAACAAAGCTTTCCAAAGAGCTCTCTTTTGGTCCTATAGTGAGAACAGATTTTACAAACTTATAATGCTAGCATTTTTAACACAAGGCCAACCTTTCTCTGCTACCCCCCAGAAGTTTGGCTCTTGCCCATCTGCTCAGGGATTAGCCATCTGCTTGCTTGAATGCTTTAAAGGGGGGGGAGAACAAGGTGGATTTTCAAAAGCACCCAGCAGTCTCACTAACTGCTTCCCCACAGTCACCAGTTTGACCTCAATGAGGACCCAAGGAGGCCGGTGGCAAGCATTTATTAAAATCTCAGTATACTACTTTCCCAGGAATATAAACTGTTAGCATTTGCAATTACTCCATCTCAAGTTATCAAAGTCGTTAAATTACAGGATTAAAGGCTCACCTCCACGAACAGCAAGGAATACAGAGGCACAACACCGGGCAGAGGAATACCAGTTTTAAATCCGCCATTTAATCAAATGCAACTTAAAGCATCAGCCCCTTGGTTTCAGGGTGACACCCATGGTGGGTCAACAGGACTCCTTCAAGGGCTTTGCTGCCTACAGGGTGCTGCAACTCACTATGGGGTTCCAGGAAAAATTGTAGGGGGAAATCTAGAGAAAGGACCAAAGGCAGGGAAAGAAAAAGGTTAAGGCACCATGCAGATGTAAAGCATGGGTCAAGAGAGCAAAAGAGGACTAAAAGGGCCAGTCATATGTAAGGAACACTTGCCTGGCCATGCTCTGCACCTCACCACCAGTCCATCCCACTTTTGATTAAATTCTACTTCTAACAATTTTTCATGATACAGGGTGTGTGTGTGTGTCTATCCTACATGCACATATGTATAAGGAATTCCAAGTTTTCACAGAGACAGGGAACTATGAGTTAGAGTGATCCAGACACCTGTGAAGACAGCACCTGCTGAGAMCAGATACTGTGGAAGTCTGAAGGCCAAGGATTACAGCCAGCTCCAGGATGAACCCTCTGTGTGTGTGCGCATGTGCAGGCAAAGGGAGTCTGAGTGTCAGGGCCTGGAACAGGCTGCGGGACTCAGGCAGTCCCTGGTACCAAAAACGTGGTAACCTCTAAGGACTAGCTATCAAAACACAAATTCATAGTGCTCATTTGTATGTTTGTACATATTCACTTTTGCAGCAGTGGGCTTTGCCCTAAATAGCTAGCAGGGAACAGGATGTGGCTATGTATCTTGCATGAGTTCTGGGATTTTTCCCGACTTGAGCTGACCTAAGCAGCCAGACATATATTTATAGGTACATACATCTTGTGCGTATATTTTGGGAATACATGTTCAGTTTTGATACGTGATAGACTTGAGGACATGGAGCTGCAGGAGCCTCACATTTATCAGGCTACCAGAGCTGGCAAAGCTATCAGCAAGTGAAAGGTCATCAGATTGATCTGTGTGTTTTCAGAAGACGCCACTGGAAGTCTAACAAGGCACTTGCAGAGACCTATGTAAGATCTATGCAAGAAATAATTTGTTCCAACAAGAATGCTTCACTAGTATCTGTCAGTTGTGAGATTTACAATCAAAAAAAGATCAAAGGCAAAGCAGGATGCCAGCTGGCCTGGCCTTAGGTCAATAAATCTTGCCTTAGTAATTCAGATTCTAAAGCAAATCAAAAGCAAACAGTACTCATTAAAATCAAGGCAGGTGATAACTTCAATGTATGTTAAATTTTTTTTTCTCCCWGTAAAGTATGTATACTGAAGCTCCCTTACTGCAGTTTTACAAAACTGCAATCTATACGTGAAAAACATGGAAAAAAMCATTATTTCAGTATGAAAGATCAGATTAATCTTCGAAGCTACTAGGCAAACTAAGCAGAAAAAAAATGAAGACTCCACCCATTAATTTTTTTTTGAAACTAAGTAAATTTGACTGATAAATGAAACTTCATTTGCATTCCATTTCTAAGAGATACTAATTTCTCAGAATTGCAAAACTAAATCATTGATTTGTACATTTAGTGCAAGAAATTCTTGATGACTTTTTCAAAATATTAAGSAAGTTTAGCTTCATTATCATCAAATCAATGTTCAACGATGTTTAAATACAATCACTTTAAAAAATACTGTGCACCAGTATTCCCAGAAATAACACACTAAAAATTAAAAATCAGGGTATCAAAAATGAAGCTTTGATGCTATGCAGAACTCCAAGGGCCGTTACATGCCAGTAATCAATGTTTTAATCCCATGCAGTACGTAAGCAAAAAAGGCAACACCATATAAGGATGAAACCTCAAATGTGGAGAATTGAGGTGAAAAGCTTTCCCAGCTCCCACAAGTACCTGCAGATGAGCCAAGGAACATTCAGGAAAAAATACCTTGTAGCTTTAAGGCATTACATGATTAGGAGCAATACTGTATCTTACATTTCGGAAAAAAAACTCTTTCCAGAAATTAACAGACTCATACAGCAATAAGGAATTTATGGTTCAAATTTGGATCAATATGATCCAAAACACAATCAGAGGTTTATGAGCAGGACAGCACACATTTCTCTTAWGACTTCAAGAGCCTGGAGAGTAATAAATCCCCACTGCAGGAGAATATGCCCAGTCTGTAAAGAAACTTGCATGACAGCAACTCTGAAATGCCTACAAGGAGCACAAGTCTTTTGTAATTTAACTCTTCCCTCCACAGGTTTCTTCGCCAGACCACACTCCCCAGAGAAGAAGGCATGTGCAAGGAGGGGTGCTTCATACAATCAGTAATGTTATTCTTGAGTCAGAGACTGAAATTACAGTTAAGAAAGAAGAAAAGTTATACAGAACGGAGAGAGTGACTGGACTAACACTGTAAAGGAAACTTAAACCTATAAAAAACAGAAATGTTCAGGGAACCCGTTTTTGGAGCCTTATCCCATACCTGTCAATCGATGATGGACTGACGGCAGCTGGTGCCTCAGGTGGTTTTTCTTCTGTCTTCTCCTCTTTCGGAGCACTCACAGGTGCAGGTTCACAAGCCACTGCCTCTGGTGCTGGTGGTGGAGGGACAGGAGCTGGCACAGGGGCAGCAACAGGGATGGGGGCAGCAACTGCTGTGGGAGCTGCAGTTGTTGAGCCAACAGTGGAAGTGGCATTTGATGGCTGAGTTGCTCCAGCTGCTGCTTTGGGCTACAGGAGGACAACAGAGTTCAGGCACAGCACAAAGATCATAAATCCATGGCTCCCTACAGGCAACACACTAAGGTATGTTAAGACCATTTGTGTTTGATATTGCTGCTTTGACATCGAGCACAACATTAAAACATTGCAGGACATGAAATCTCTAATGCCTTTCACGGTGTTTAAACAAGCAACTGGGAGCGTCACTGAAGTACTCACACACCTGAGCATTCACACTAAATATCTAAATATTTATAGACTGCAATATTCTAAATATGAAAACAATCCTGTATTTTACAAAAGCACATTTTACAAAAGAAACCAAGAGAGCTGCCAAAAAACATCYGGAGAACAAGCATAAGCTCTTCTCACCATTCAGATTTGGAAAAAAGTGGTTAAGACAGAAATCACATTTCATTACAAATGCTGTTTGCTGGAAAACAAGTTGCGAAGAAGACTTTAACCTGCAACTAAAGCACTTGCCTGTTTTAGTCATGCAACCTTTGCATTTAAAGCACGATAGTAACGTCTCAAATACTTCAGTTCTGAAGTGAGCACCAAGGATACAGCAGAATGAAGGAATACCAAATTTACCAGCAAAAAAAATTTAGAGCAGATAAAAAAATTTAGAGCAGATAATACTTGTATTCAATTGGGAAATAATCTTTGCATCTCTAATGGAAACATGAATTTTTCTTGGATGCAGTATTAATCCCAATATATAGAAATAGCCCCAAAGGCTTACAAAGCTGACCCCAGTCTTTGCCTTTCCAAGAGGAATAGCTGAACTTTAACAAAACTACTTATTCAAGATGCACCACTTTCAGACAATGTTTGCTTGAAGAAGGAAACATTTACTTCCTCCTTTTGTCAGCAAGGAGAAGTAAGGTTGAGAATAAATAGCTTCCAAAATGACAGGCATAGCAAATAACATTTTAATAAGCACTCACAGAAAAACACTGACACAGGTGGAATGCAAGGGGGTTATTTTCTGATGGATTCCTAAACCCTTAATGCAACAGCGTCTGAGCACCAGACAAAAGTTAGCAGCCTGTGCCTACATGACTGGGCATGTGTTATCCACAACAGAATCAGGAAAGGGAAACTGAGCTTCAAGATTAGCGGAAAGATTGTAAGACTGAATTAAAGCCCAAACTACATGTTCTTTAATATCAGAATATACTGAATTCACCAGTTCTTCATGGACATCTGTTTTTAGAATTATAGAATCGCTGAAGACACTTCTAAAATGATTGAATCTTACCCAGCACTGCCACATCCACCACTAAACCATGTCCCTAAGTGCTACAGCCACACATTTCTTGAACACTTCCAGGAGAGGCAAATGCACCATTTCTCTGGAGTCTTCTGCTATCAAGAAAATGAAAAACTGGACTCTGATATCTCATCCGCACCTGTTTTCTTGTACTGATAAATGTCGCTGTGGCAAACCACAGACTAGAAAGCTGTTCATTCAGGAAGACAGCAAAAACAGTTATCTTTAACAAGCCCAGATGTTTAATTATGTTTAATAATACCAGATAGAAACAATGTATGTTTTCTTTGTCAGGAGGAAGAACTCTAGCTTCCAAATCAATTTTGTATTCCAAAACAGAGATGAAGCCAGTTTTATTCAGATTGCAACGGTCTGGAATGCCTGGAAAATCAGTGGCTTGATTCCTGGAAGCAGCCTGACAAGTGGTTCAGAGAAGAAATACTTCAAACACATGTCACAGTCATTCCCTGTAAATTGCACATGCAGTCTTTCAAAACCCACAGGTTTGTTTACTGCCAGATGTATCCTCTCTTTACTGGTTCATGCTGTTGAGCTTGACAAAAGAAAAAGCCATGAATTATGAAAAGCAACATGGCAAGGCTGGAAGAGTTCCATGGAGAGGATTTAACAACAAATTACCTAGGTTGCCTTTTTCCTTTTAATAATAAAAAGGCAAAAATAATAGAGCAACAAGAAAGAATAAACAATAAAATCAGCCATTAGCAATTTTTTTCTTTTATAGAAACATCCAGCACAGAACAGCAGCAAAAATCAGCCTAGGCAAACTAGGACTATGAAGCAATATTTTTTATCTACTCACACAGGCATTCTACTGTTTACCAAAACTTGTATATGATGAAATTCCACTGGTTTTATGGATGGGCATATACAACCACTCATCACAAGAAAAAACAATTAAATTAATGAGGCTTCCTATTAAAAAAAATAATAATAACAACTCACTTTTGTCACCATAACCACCACAAAGTTCTTCTCATCTATCTTGTATTCTTTGAGAGCAGTTTCATCATTAAGTATTTTACCTAGGAAATCAAACAGGTAGAAATTAAGAGGTTGTTTAGCAAATCTTGGGATTTGGGTTCTTGGGATTTTCTAACGAAAATACATTTATGCTAATTTATAAAATTAAACAACCCAACAAAAAGCAGTTTGGCTATTAAGCTTTGGCAGTAGAGCTACAGTTTTTTCTCCTGTGATGTACAGAATACTAGATGGCATGAGGGCTGCTACCCTGAGTGCTGAAGATGCTTCAAACCATTTAAAAATAAAAGCATTGAAYATGGAAAGATTCATTGGACCCTTAACAAAGATACCTGTAATACTGAGAAAGGTTTTAACATACAAAAAGCTTAACCAAGTAAGTTATGTCTGCTTACACACTCTAGACACAAAGAGGGAAATTGCTATCTACTTATCTTCCATTTGGTCTTCAGATAAGAGCAACACCTGCAATAACAAGTTTGTGACCTCACAACTTGAACAATTTGCTATTAAAACAAGGCTAAAACATTAGGAAAAGCTAAAACCATTCTGTAGTATGCTACCTTGACAGAAGGATGAGAAAGCTATGAGACAAACCCAGAAACATTTGTTATACTATTACATTTGATGTTTCATAAGCAGAGGTGGAACTGTGACAAAACAGATTTGCATCATATCTACAAGAATTCAGAAACACACTAAGCCATATACATTTTGCCTTTTCTTAGAACAAGCTGACTTAGAAGTAGTACCACAAATCAGAAAATTAAGTATTTCAGTGAGTTTTACAACAGATTTCAGGAATTTTCAGGAAATATTTTCCAATTTAACTTGATTTACTCTTGGTGATGTACCAAAGACTGCTTCCATTTCACCACCTCTCTACATGCTAGTGGAATACACCACTGGATTGCAACTAGAAGGACACATCGTCCCTCTGATGACTGCAAGGAAATCAAGCAACACATACACTTTATGGCACTCAACACAAAAGACTGGTTCCACTAGTCTTGCAGGTCAAACATTCAAGGAAGTATTACATGTACTACAATAATAGCAATACCTGTAGCATCTGACTCAGAACTTACATGGGTTTACTTACATTTTGTTTATAGSCACTTTGGAGAAGGCTTTAATGAATGTGTATACATGTAATATATGTACTTTCATAACATATATATACAGACATCCTATCTTCTCAGGATGTACCAGTCTCAGGGTTTCTATACCTTACCCTAATACAGATGTAGCACAATGGATTTGCCTCTTAATCAGAATCAGCTGTGGATATCATTTTGCTTTACCAAACTACAAAAATTCTATAGCTCATTTTAATAAAAGTAAAAATGTCAGCAATATACCCTCATCTCTTGTCCAAGGAAAAAGAGAATCAAGACTTGGACAGTTTATATTCTCAGTCTTATTTACTGTATTTCCTACTGCTTGTGAGGATTATACAATACTGCAGATACATTCTGGCTCAAGAAAACACCCAAGTCATCTCACAGAACCTTATGCAATCCTTGATCTCTGCAATCACAGAATCACAATATTGAGAGTGCCATGCAGTTATACCCATTGCACAATGCCTTAGTCATATATTTTGGTTATACATGAGACTTCCACCTTCATGTTCTTGATATGCATTTCCTTCATTGATGTATAAGAGACATAAAACCCCGAGATATAATCCTGAGCCATTTAACAAACACAGGCTTGTAACTTGTTTCCCATTAGCATCTCTCCACTATTACCAGTGGCTTTAGCTTATTGCAAATAAAAAGACAATATTTATTATGAAGCAGTACATGACAGAAGTGATAATCCCACCAAAGTTTCTTTCAAACTCGGTTTTAGAAGAAAGAAAACACTAGAGGGAGTAGTGGAATAGCACCAAAGTCCTGACATGAAGTGAGAACAACAAATGGATTTCTGTATTAGTGCCAGAATGAACAAGGCAAGTAACATAAAGCTCAGACAAAGGTAATTTCATGTTTTCAACTGACATTAGCTTGCTTTTTGGTAGTTCATAATACACATTTCTAGTGAGAGATCTTTAAAGCATTCAAATTACCTTTGTACAGCAAGGATTTGGTGGCAGGTTTCTTTTGTTAATCCAAAAGAAATAATCTGGCTTTTAATTCTCTGAGGTATATACAGCAATGCTTCAGCTATACACAGCATAAATTGAACAAGAAAATAATTAAGCCAGAACAGGAGCTTTTACCTCCTTAAATCCTGATTTCCYGTAACAAAAAACTATTTCTTCTTCACCAGCATACCCCCAAGAAATCACGTTATAAGAGCAAAGATGACAGACACATATGTACTAAAATCTAAAAAATGCTAGTTCAAAATTAAGAGTTCACTTTGACACTGAGCTTGTTTTTGTGTTGGTGGYTTTTTTTTACCTGTCTATACTTCAGTTCTTAGAATTCTTAGAAGACTTAACATTCACATCCAAGTCAAAGAACAACATAAAATAAGGCAGGTTCAGATAAGTTACCTTCAGAACATCCATTACCTGCATAAATTAGTTTTTGGCCAGCTACTGGAAAGGCATCTTTCCCCCTTTCTGATTCAATCTTCTCTTTGAGTGCCTTCACCTAAAGCACAAAAACAGTCTTAATGAAAATGAAGTTCACAGTACAAACCTAATTAAGTACWCCTTAAATTTAAATATAGAAAAGTAGTTTCAAACATGTCTTAATTATGTCACGTTTATCAGTCTTCTGAATATGTCACTAACCACTTGCGGAGCAACAAGTCCCCTTCCCAAATAATCTCCTGTGCTGAATCAAATTATGTAATTAATTCCTCCATGAGAAGTTATTAGTATGAATGTACAACACATTGAAAAAGTAAATTGCGAAATTCATGGAAAAAAAATATTTTTATCTCCTGACCCATTTGCCCTGATATTTGTCTGAATGAAGAAGGTACACCTGTTATAAACAGCACTGAAGGTTTTCGTCATCATAACCACACTTCAAGGAATGCCTCTTTTTTAGGTAAGATCACCATGACATTCAACCTTGAAGTCTCCATATGCAAAGACTTGTGCAAACTGTTCAGATGCTCATCTTACATAAGATGTTTTCAATTCTTCCCCCTCCATCACAATTTCTGGAGCTTCACACAGCAGCTCTAAGCCTACACATTTACTTGCTTGYATGGGCCATTGATGCATCATCCACACTTCCACAGCACCGCATGCAATAGCTCAAGTGGCACTGTCAGTTGTCATGGAATGCTCTCAGTTCTCCCGAAAGACTCCATAATGCTACCCTGAGGAGGTAAAGCAAGCTCCTGTAAAAGCATTCCTATACTAACACATTTGAAGTCATGTTTTAAGACAAACTGCCTGCATGTGCAGTCATTTTTCTTGCTTTCTTACAGACACTCCCAGTACATACAAAACCAAGACAACCAATCTGCCATAAGCCTATTGCTACAAGCTAATACCATCTTCTAAAGGTTGGGGKTTTTTTTGGTTTTGTTTTGGTTTTTTTTTTCCCCTGAATATTCAAAATCCCTTTTCATAAAACTCTGCAAGGATATAGAACACAACATATTGCTTCCCTCTATGGAACAAAACCAAAACAGGGAGCCAGCTCTTTCTTCCCAGCAAATGAGGAAAGGATGCTTTTGGTATCTGTACCATACATGCCATCCCAACACCTGCCAAGTGCTTTGGAATCCATCTCCAAACAGGCAGTTGCTTTTACACAGCAAAACTAAGAGCATCCCTAAGTCCTAAAGATGGTCAAACCACTACTTGTTTTAAGAATAATTTGCTGAAAGCCTCATCATCCTCATGCACTTACTTTGCACAAGTCTGTCCTATCCTTAGATTTACATTTATTCTTTAAGCCAATTTTCTTGAAAATTAAAAATCTGATTTGTTAATTCTTACCCCAATTATTAAAGATAAAAGTCATTTACCACACTAGTGAACACTCTTTTTAGACTACAGGTAAGCCATCAAGCAGTTTTTCCCCAAACTTTAATAATAATAATGTCTAATACTTCACTCAACTTCAGTTAAAGTCCTGCATGCACTAGGGCAAGTTAATCCTCTAAATCATATTAAAAGCCTGTTAATGTTTCCAAAAGTCTATTTTTTAACACTCTGAGTACCTATTCTTACATTTCTGCACTTGTAGCAATCACTCAATGATAATGACATCACTTCTTTCATACCCAGTTACCATGTTCGTCACAATTTGTAAMAAATATTGCAAAGTGAATAACAGGTATAATCTATTTTGAGGGAGAAAATTAAAGGTTGTTTCACGTCTACTGTATCAGTCAAGCTACAGGCTTCAAATATCTACTTTGTTTTCTTCATTTTCTAACGTTTTATTCCAGACAACAGTCTTTTTCTTACAAAGATCAAAAGCAAGATGTGTTCTCTCAAACATAAATGTTTGAACTGCTAAAAGTCTAGGTCAGGACACACTGAACACACATGTTGATTTACTACACAATAATTGGATCCATGGAAAGGAGTTAAGATATTTACCGTAGGAGGATCCAACAATTCATTTGCCTTTGCTGACCACCTGTGTGCAGYATTTCCCCTAATTATTACTGTGATGTGATTGATGTGACTTGGGACAAGTGACTTGGGGCACTCCCTTCTTCCAAAACCTCCCAAAATGTTCCCCCTTCCATAAGTCTGCAACTTACAGGACTGTGCTTTCATCCCTTTGACAGGTGGCATGCATCTCCAGAGATAGGCAAACTTCTATTTTATACCATGCGGCCAAGGGAAATGAGAAAAAAAACCTTCTCTGGGAATCTGTTCCAGTGTTTCACCATCCTCACTGTAGAAAATCTCTTCCTTACATCTACTCTAAAAATACCCTCTTTTGATTTAAAACCATTATTCCTTGTCCCACTGTGACAAGCCTGCTAAAAAGTCTGTCCCCATCTTTCTTATAAGCCCCCATTAGGCACTAAAAAGTTCTCCAAGGTCTTGCCAGAGCCTTCTCTTCTCTTCTCTAGCCTGAACAAYTCCAGCTCTSTCAGCTTGTCTCCCTAGGAGGGGTGTTCCACCCTCTGAGCATCTTTGTGGCCTCCTCTGGACCAGCTCTAACAGGTCCCCATCTTTCACGTGCTGCGGACCGCCAAGAAGCCACGTGTTACACAGGATTACACCTGGGAAAACTGATTCAGCAGCCACAGTCAGTTTCAGCCTTCTTGGACACTCAGGAGACTGTGCTTTGACTGCATAATCCCCTTCCACAATCCAAAAACCCTCTCTGGGTCCTAATACCGACATAACTTTTATTATTGTGGTGGTCTATGTCAGGACAGACTAAAGACATGTACTAATTACTACAGAATAATTGGATGAATGTGAAGGAGTTTGGTATTTATTGCCTCAATGAAACAGTTACCAATGCAAATAACACCATGAAGTTACAGAACCATGGTGGTCCAGAACGTAAAGCCAAGTATAAGTCTGCTCCTAAAGAACAGAGACAATCTTTGGCCAAAGCTTGCCAATACAGGGACCATCATTAACTTAATTCTTGAAAAGACTGGAAATCCTGAGGAGAAAAGGCCATTACAGTTTTATTCTCTGCCTGTATTCTTGCCATGTACATTAATCAGTTTAAGAACAKATTATATGCTAAACTGGAACACAAATTACTTCAGTTCTCTGGCTGACAGCTTACGAAAATCTGAAACAAATTTAAGCTTARCTGAGCCAATTTACAGTATTTTGCTATATCCAGAGACACTGCCATTCGGAAAGGGAAAGATCATTTACACAGAGCTCACATCTAAATGGACATTCACTCTGCTGTGAACTTTTGCTATCCAAAGGTAACTGATGTGTTGTGGTGACTGACAGTAACACACCATGAACTCCAAATTACAAATTAAAAATTCTGTAATGTCATTCAAGTTGCTYCTTTAAAACTGAAAACATACCAAATAGTCTAGCAATTTCCAGATTAYGTTCGAGAACACTTCAGAGCATTGCTTAACTGTCTATAAACAATAGTGGTTTAGATAAGGGGATCTGTCATATCTCGATTACAGTGAATTGATCACATCACACCTCTTCAAAGCAACAAACAAAAGGACTTAAACCAACTGTTAATTACTAGAGCTTGAATCTGCTAGGAAATGCAATCAGCTGCAGACTGCATAATTCTCCCGTTAGAGGCAGAAATTCAAACAACATTCAAGATAAAATAAAAAGTGCTTGTCTGTTCTTTTGGCTTTCATCACTGCCTAACCTGAGAGGCCAGAAACACAAAATTTGCAAAGGATATAATACTAATTCTTAGAATTAAAAAATGAATAGGTAAGACCAGATACATCAATTCTAGCAGCAACATACCAGTGGCATAGAATTTTCTCTTGTAGTTCTTACTGTAGTGACTGAAGGCATAGTCTTCAGTGAGAAATAACTGTGCCATTAATTCTGCTAAGAGAAGAACATACATGGTGGCCTGTATATCAGACAGTAGTCTGATCCACCTTCATTTAGATTTAAACCATAGATGTTACATTTTTAAGGAGGAATTAACAAAAAAAAAAAAAAAAAAAAAAAAAAAAAAAAAAAGAGAGAAGAGAGACAGAGAGAGAGGGAGAAGCCCTCTCAATGGTCTTCAGAAAGACAGCTGCATCTTCCAGCTGCTCATGCAGGGAACTGCTGAAAAAACAACATCCTAAATTTTGCCTCTAGCAAATTAGGTTGCTGAAAACGTAGACTTCAGCACCACCATTGGTTCACGGTTATTAAGTGAAAATTAATTTTGGAGAAGAACACCCAGCACATTGATCTGTCAAACTGAGAAATCATCCACAGATTATGATGCATTTTTCTCATAAATACTGATCCATAAACCAAACCTCCTAGCTTTATTCAATCTGATTAGAGTTCAAAATGTATTTCAGTCCTCACCAAATCCCATTTTTCCTCTGCCCTTATAAAATTTCACAGCACAATAAATGGAGCCTGTACTTTATGGCAATACCTTCAAGAATGAGCATCAATTAATYTACAAACACTTTACCCTAAAGATTCAGAAACAGCAAACTTACAAGTCAAGATAATTTTCTTTTGTCCCCTGTGAATTCAGATAGGAAGCTCTCTCTCCTGTACAGAAACTGAACACAATGTCCTCAAGAATACTTGTCATGCAATTTGTTTAATAAAGAGCTAGAGCTGATTGACTCCTGACTGAAAAGCTGAGGTCTTCCAAAGAAATATCAGTCATCAACTGGATCCTAGATGGGCATCCTAAAAGATGGGTTTCATGAAATCACCAGTGCTGTGTTTCCCAGTTGTTCCTTGCAGTCACTTTTTGCCAGCTAAACAAGCAACGCATGCTGAGTTCCATCCGGGCCAGCAGCTCCCATTGATCAAACATCCTCCCCCAACCCTCTCCCACAACAATTTTAATTTCTCCTATCTCATATAAATGCTAACACAGAAGAAGCAAAAATGATCAGTTTATTCAGGAATTCATTTCATAAATTGCAGTGCAAAAGTGAACAGTGTATTTTCATCAGTTTTAATGCAAAATTTTATAGGCAAGACAAACTGCTGAATTTCTTGAGATTTTGGGAGAAACTGAAT